AGTTGTTTTTGATATTTTTGTGACCAATAAAAATGATTTAAACTTTCAACTACACTGGTGGCACGCTCTTCTCTTTATTGTACATACTGCTGATGTCCTGAGAACCAATCTGGGCCCATTGGTGTCTACGTTGGAGATACTGAGGCCTAGAACTCCACCAACACTTTTTTTTATCCAAAGTATGTCTTAAAGGAAACCTGTATTGTGAAAATATGGAGGCTGCCATTGCTGAATCCTCCTTTAGGCCTTGTTCACACCAAATGCAGACCAGATCTGCATGAGTTTCTGCACACGCAGTGCAATGGCTTGTGCCGCGTTTCTGCCGCTTTTTTTGCCGCTTTTTGGATGCGTTCCGGACCATTTTTGATTAAAATGGGCTTTCAGTGCGTTCCAGGGCGTTTTAATGCTTTTTCTATGCGTTTGCATGCGTTCTAGAGCAGGTCCAGAGCAGGTAAAATAGGGCCTGCTGCAGTTTTTTTACATGCTCTAGACCTGCTCTGGAACGGAACGCTGCAATGTGAACTGGAGCTAAAAATACCATTGGAATACATTGGACGCAGTTTTGATCCGGTCTGTAACTGCTCTGCTCTGCTCCTGGAACGCGCTTGGTGTGAACAAGGCCTTAAAGCCTGGCTTGCTTGCCGTTCAGGTTTAATACTTGCTGAGCCACGGACCTGGAACAAGCACACAGACCAGGACCTTATGCTAAATGCACCAGCTACCTGCTCGCTCTGTGTCAGTGGGTCAAAAACTATTAGGGCCTGAGACAGCCAGGCAGCTATCATAGTGTATCGCCACAACTGGCAATGAGTACAATCCCCAAAGAACCAATCATAGACCAGCTTTCATATATAAGGCTGCAGTACAATGCTTCAAACTTACTGTTGATTGGTTAGTGCGGGGGACTGGACGGAAGAGACGGTAGACTGGCTCAGAGATTGGCTCAGATTGGAGATTGACGGTACTTTAATAGTACTAAAAAGGCCACAAAAAAATTCAAAGTACATTTTTATTTTTTACGGCCCCTTCCACAGACCATTTGAATTCTGAAGGATGGCAGGGATTGCGTGGCAGCAATATGTCACTGCCCGAAGTGGCTGCAAAAGTTACAAACCCCAGCAGGCTTGGCTTCAAGTGGTATCATTAAAACAGACATTCCCAAAATTTTCCGATTTTTATCCCAAATTTTCCGATTTTTATCCAAAATGTTTCCAATTTTTTTCCACATTTTCCCTGCAAGGGTTAGGTGCTCGTTTTTTTTCTAGGTTGAAAAAGAACCCTATGCTTATTCACTCGCTTGCTCTTAGACACTTGCTTGCTCTTAGACACCAAGGGGCATACCATTGCTGCAGCAGAGGAGAAGGCAGGTGGAAGGGACTGGTTGAAGAGCAAAGTGGCTCCGTGGATTGGGTGCGTATAACTTTGTTATTTTTGAACCGAGACAAGAACAAGCACTTACCCCTTGCAGTGTGGGGGGTTATCCTACTGTGTTTCGCTGAAAATAAGACACTGTCTTATATTTTTTTTGGCTCAAAAAAACACACTAGGTCTTATTTTCGGGGTAGGTCTTATTTTTTTAAAATTTATAACAATCCAAAGTTAATGCAAATCCAAATTAAATAATCCAAAATGGCAAAGTTAAGAATATAGTGATCAGGGCAATTAGGGGTGCCGTACCTTTCCAGGAGCAATTTGGTAACCAGAATGAGCGAAGCGCACTTTCATTCCTCACAGGTGGAGTGCATTTGGTATGACTCCGCCTGTGACAGGAATCGGCGCTATAGAGGAAGCATCGGCTTATGCGGCTCTGCCTCCTCGCTTCCTCTAGCGCTGGTTTCGTTGGCACCGCTAATTCTCTCCCGCGGCTCTTCAGGTTCCCCCCTTTTGCCACCACCGGCCCTGGGAATGGTCACAACTAGGTCTTATTTTCGGGGTAGGTCTTATAGTTTAGCAATTCCCAAAAATGGTGCTAGGTCTTATTTTCGGGGTAGGTCTTATTTTCGGGGTAGGTCTTATTTTCGGGGAAACAGGGTACAACAAGGGTTAAGAAACATTTTCCCCGGACATCTAGCCAACCAATTGGGCTGTGCCTGGACTTTCGTCCCAAACTGAGCCTGGAGTACTGCACTAGAGTTAATCCCCAAGAAGTTATGTATTCTGAAGTCTGCAGATACAATCTTCTCTCAGATTCTCAAAAAATTGGGGGAACCCAAAGGGTAGTAATGCCACCCTTGACATCCGGGTTGGCATTAATCAGCATGAAATTTTCTTCCAGAATCTCAAATTTTGGGAGGACATCAGTGGGAAATTCAATCGGCCGCTGTAAACCTAAAACTGGTTCCTTGGTGCAGAATACATTAACCCCTAAATAACAAAATTATCTGGCAATTGTATATCAATACGTGGTCAGCTAATACTTCTACTTCATCCTCTTTGGCTACACTGGGAAAAAAAACCTGAAAATGCTACTTAGCGCTATAAAATGAAAAATGAACATTATAAGATCCGCATGGTCATGAGATTAGTACACAGCTGATTTCATAGCAATCCCCCAACACACATTCAATGAGAACAAAGGTGGCCCATTTGGGTAAGTCACCAATGCAGGCAGCAAGAGCCGTGCCCAGGCAGTAAAGGCAACCGCTATTGGCAAGCCAACAAGGCCAATAAGCCAATCACAGGAAGAGAGAGACACGACAAGTCTACCCAATAACAATTCCATCAGCTTCAGCTCCTTACCTCGTACACGCCACAGAAGACGGACATGAACTTGCTAAGCACTGCGGCACAGATACTGGCGATGTGCACAAACGGGCCCTGGAACACAGAACGGGGTTACTATGAGTTGTATGAAATATAAGTGATATCTATACACAGCGTGTGATTTATTCTGTACAATATCATCTTTATTACATGAAATATAACTTATAATAAAAGTAAAATTGTATTAGGAGGGCTATGATGTCACGTAAATTATAGCCTACAATTGGCAGCAGATATGTAATATGTAAAAAATCTAACACATACGACAGAACAAAAGTCAGGGGCATGAGGACCTCGTTCTCCATCTGTGAAAAAATCTGACTTTAAATTCGCACTGCATTATGGCCAGTAGATGGAGCCGAGAAGCATAGGAATTTCCTATGCTCCTTGTCTCCACCTAGTGGTCATAATATAATAGGAATTTCCTATGCTCCTCATCTTTATCTAGTGGCCATAATGTAATTGGAATTTCCTATGCTCTGCGGCTTTATCTAGTGGCCATAATGTAATTGGAATTTCCTATGCTCCTCATCTTTATCTAGTGGCCATAATGTAATAGGAATTTCCTATGCTCCTCATCTTTATCTAGTGGCCATAATGTAACAGGAATTTCCTATGCTCTGCGGCTTTATCTAGTGGCCATAATGTAATTGGAATTTCCTATGCTCCTCATCTTTATCTAGTGGCCATAATGTAATAGGAATTTCCTATGCTTCTCATCTTTATCTAGTGGCCATAATGTAATAGGAATTCCCTATGCTCCTCATCTTTATCTAGTGGCCATAATATAATAGGAATTTCCTATTCTCCTTGGGTCCCTCTAGTGGCCATAATGTAACAGGAAATTCCTATGCTCGTCGGCTCCAACGCAAAGTTGGATTTATATCCTTTGTGGCGATTGAGGAATATTTATAAATTAAACTTTTTGTGCCTGGAGTTCAGCTTTAAAAAACAGCAGCTGTATAGACCAAACTTCTTTTGTTTTGGATAGGTTAGGGAAGGGTTAAAAACCTAGTATCAATTCATTTTTTGATGTCTCTGTTGGATTGGGAAGATCTCCTTTCATTTCCTGTTCCAGAGACACTATAGGAAGTGTGAGAAGATGTGGCTACAAGGCACAGGGAGTTTCCTCACCAGGACAGATGTCCCCATTGGAAGAGTTCCCTTCTATTCCAGTCACACTTTTGTGAAAATTTTGTGAAATATTTGTAAAATGTTGGATTTCCCTCTCAGTGGCAATGATCACCGGGACAAACAGAGGGGGAGAATCTGGACTTTAAGATGTGTGTGTCACCAGCAAAGGTTAATGTTCTAAAGTAAAAGTAATACTGATTTTTCAGATCCGTCCTAAAAAATAACAAAACTGTATGGTGAATTGCTGCGTGTGTGGCCAACCTTGGCAGAGCCGACTCCCTCGTGATCAGTAAACTGCAGCCGTTAAAGTTTACAGAATAGAATTTCACTTCTGGGGAATTCCTCCCCGGACTCTGTGGTGGAGCTATTAAAAACATGTTAACTTATCCGGTGACTAATCTTTTCGGCAGGGCATTATTTTTAACTGTAATTGCCGTAAAATGTAAATCAAGGGCCCCGCTGTGTCTTTGTGTTTTGTTGCATGAAGTTTTTTTTTTGCGCTGATTTCTCATAATGTCTGATATTTCATTATCCTCAATTGGTTCGGCGATTGCTGCCATTTAAAGGGCCACTGTGGTGAAAAATATTGTAATCCGATAACTGAATGCAGCTAATGCAGCTTATGATGCTATTCAATATATACATTCCAGGCAAACTGGTTATATGATTTTTTTTTTCATATAGGGATCTTGTCGCTGGAAGAATTATATGTGCCAGAGATTTATTGCACTAAATGATCAATCTGATCAATAAACTGTAGCTCGCGGTATACTGAGCCCAGGGTGACGGGAGGACGCTAGTTTGTGTCCTCCCGTTACCCTTAGGAGAACTATGGGGAAAAGCCCTGACCCCATAGTTCTCCTTTAAACAGTATTCATCTCTCCAGGAGCCTATGTCCCCTGCCTTCTGTTTCAGCAATGTTTCAGCAATGCAGCCTCCATTAGGGTCTTCTGCATCTGACATATTTGGAGTTTCAGATACCTGTGTACCCCGTCATGCACTGTGGTTCCATCCTCTGACCCCCAGGTCCCTACCTATTTAGGGTTCGATGGATAAAGCCACAATGCACGTTGGGGGGACACAGACATCAGCCGTGTAGCTGTGTAAGGGTCAGAGGGTGAAACCATGTACGAATGCGTGGTTCCAGGAAGGGTGGATTGCCAAAGAGACTGATGAAGGCTGCAGCACTGGAACAGAGGGGAGGTAGAAGACACAGGCTGGCGGAGAGATTAATATAATGATTTTTCTATTCCAGAGACCCTTTTATCTTTATTTGTTAACACTTTGACAAAGTCGCTTTAATTTCAAAGGGCCAATGTGCTCTGATGGAAAGTCCAGCTGAATGGGGCCAAATTAAACAAGTGAGAGAATACAAGTGAATAACAGCATATGCAGCTAACCCTGATAAAGCTGTACTCGCGTTAAAAGTGGGACCCACTATGATTCTTGTGGGCAATAATTAACCCCTGCTAGGCTTTACATGTTATAACCCTCTAAATAGGCCCATTTTCAGATGCAATGCTGCCCCAGAACCTGAATTAAGATGGTCTTCTATACAAGCTTCACCCCTTTGTGTAATGTGGTTTTAGTAAAACTATGGTTATGGCATGTGGTTTGCTTTATCGGCAGAAATGTTTTTCTGTTGGACACATAACCAAACAAGAGAAAACAGAAATGGATTCTTGTTTCCTGAACTATAAAGAGTCTACTGATTCCTCTCAACATGTCCTTCCCCCTAAAGTTCCCTAGCTGAATTTAGCCACCGATGTCCACAAGTGGTTAGAAAAAAGAAACAAAGTAAGAAACGAATGATCACAGATTGTACATTTTTGGGGGTTGGTGATGCACCTATAAACCAGCTGCCCTAGGGGACTGCCATTGTGGTAAATACAGCCATGCTCCTATGGGATCTACATTGACCCAACCACCAAAAATTAAAGTTTCCAAACTCACCTTCTGTATCTATTTGGGGATAGATTTAATATAGCTTCGGTTTAGATCTTACAGATATATCATATTAACTCTTTTTTGCCCTCTCCTTATTTTATAGTAGAAGTTAATAGATAGCACCTGACTATGACTATACAAAGGTTTTCACACCAATGCTTTTTGAGGAGGGGAAGGGGGGAGGGGGGGTAATCATGTGACCAAGGTTCCCCACGGTTCCCCCTTCCTCTTTTCCCTTCTATATTACTGCCCAGGTGGGTGCAAACTGTCACTGAGCCTGTGGACAGAAGACAGTTGCTGTAAAGTGCATTATAGGAGATGAGGTCCAAATTGACAGGCAGAGGAGGTATAAAAAGACTTTTCCCAATATCAGAAGACTTTTCAGTGAATTTGGAATTTATAGGAAGGGTGTTAAGATTTTGTTATCGATAGGAGTCTCAGTTATACTGTAGCAGTTACAAGTTGATGCAAGCGATATCTTTTCATTACTGTTAATTGGGTTGCATCCCAATAGACAACGGGGTTTTTTTGTGTGTATATTGTTGGAATTATAGAATGTTGCGCTTGTTTCTGTTTGGCACGTGTCGCACATCCTGCTGTTCTCACCTCTTTGCCCAGGGGCATCCCACTCCCTAAAGAGGCTGTCAGTCCGACCACTTTGGCTACAAACGCTTTGAGCGTCAAATACTCCTTCAGCACGACTCCTCGGAGAATGACTTTCAGCTCCGGAATGCCAGAACCTCAAAAAATGAAACAATAACATGATGTATGTTAAATCTCTATGGACAGCATTACCATCTGCAAATCTGTCAGGTAAGAGAGACAGAGAGATGGAGGTGGGAGAGAGGAGGGACAGTGAGAATGAGAAATAGGAGGGAGAAGAGAGAGAATGTGTGCAAGAGAGAGAGTGAGAAAATGGGAGAGGAAGAGAGAGAAACTGAGATGAGGAGAGAGGAAGAGAGAGAGATTGAGAAGATAAGAGAGGAAGAGAGAGAGATTGAGAAGAGGAGAGGGGAAGAGAGAGAGATTGAGAAGAGAAGAGGGGAAGAGAGAGAGACTGAGAGACGAGAGAGGAAGAGAAAGATTGGAGAGAGACTGAGAGACCAGAGAGGAAGAGAGAGATTGGAGAGAGACTGAGAGACGAGAGAGGAAGAGAGAGATTGAGGAGAGAAGAAGAAAGAGAATAAGATGACGAGAGAGATTGAGAAGACGAGGGAGGAAGAGAGAGATTGAGAAGAGGAGAGAGGAAGAGAGAGATTAAGAAGAGAATAGAGGAAGATAGAGATTGGAGTGAGACTGAGAGACGAGAGAGGAAGAGAGAGATTGGAGAGAGACTGAGAGACGAGAGAGGAAGATAGAGTTTGGAGAGAGACTGCAAGACGAGAGAGGAAGAGATAGATTGAGAAGATAAGAGAGGAAGAGAGAGACTGGAGAGAGACTGAGAGACGAGAGAGGAAGAGAGAGATTGAGAAGATAAGATAGAAAGAGAGAGACTGGAGAGAGACTGAGAGACGAGAGAGGAAGAGAGAGATTGAGAAGATAAGAGAGTAAGAAAGAGAGAGAGATTGAGAGGCGAGAAAGGAAGAGAGAGATGAAGAGGAGAGATGAAGAAGACAAGAGAGGAAGAGAGAGATTGGAGAGAGACAAGAGAGGAAGAGAGAGATTGGAGAGAGACAAGAGAGGAAGAGAGAGATTGGAGAGAGACAAGAGAGGAAGAGAGAGATTGAGAAGAGGAGAGAAGAAGAAAGAGAATAAGATGACAAGAAAGAGATTGAAAAGACGAGAGAGGAAGAGAGAGATTGAGAAGAGTAATGAAGGAAGAGAGAGATTGAGAAGACAAGAGAGGAAGAGAGGGATTGAGAGGCGAAAGAGGAAGACAGAGATTGGAGAAGATGAGATGAAAGGAGATAATATAAATGGATAGGAAAAACATGATTAGTGTGAGGGAGATCATTAGGGAGAGGGAAAGAAAAGCCGGGTATACGCGGTTAGCATTTCCGACAGAGGTTCGTATGAAATATCTCATCAGAAAATGTGGTAATGCCATCAGAGACTTCATGAAAAAAAATTTCAGTGCTGCTTCTTCTAATTTTTTCCTCGAACTCGATTGTCAAATTGACCCCATTATTAGTGTTAGAAAAGCGAATGTTCTGAAAATGAATATTTTCAAATAAAATTCTAACCATGTATACCCAGCTTAAGAGAGTACAAGAGAATGGGATAGAGGAGAGGGCGATTATTAGACACGGGGAGACAAGTAAGAGAGGGAACACGAGAGAGAGAATGAGAAGATGAGAGACATGGGAAGACAGAAAATACGAGCTGATGAGCAGGAGAAAAAGCAAGGGACTGAGAGAAGTTAAAGATAAAGGAGGGAGAGTGATAAATAATAACAAAGATAAACAGAGAGTGACAGTGAGGACAAAACAAGGAGAAAATAAAAAATAAATAAACAAAAACATCTTTAGATATAGAATCATCCTAGGAGTCTGGTGTGTGGACAAATGTGGCATCATGTGAGAGGTATCTTAGACTTGAATTCACACCTTATTGTTAATGGGGCTCTGACACTATCCTGTAGGCTTGAGGCTGTAAATAAAGTTCATCCACTATGACCTCACAAGCTGTCAAAAGAATCCTCTCAGACTTTGCAACTGCAAGTCAGAAAAGGAGGGAGTAGTCATTTTACATTGGCACTTCACTCTCTGGAACCATTACTCATTTCCTTGGATGGGAAGGAATATGTTTTATCTCTTTAAAGTTCCAATATTGGTCGAGGGGAGATGCAAGCTCTGCCTTCTGACAGTAAGAACTATGAGCTGCATGCAGATACAAAATGACATGTCCTGGCCTTATAGATCCCCCTAGGGACCAACTAAACCATTTTATGGACCCTGCCGGTAGATGTCAGCTTATGTTTGGACCTGTTGCAATCAGGATGATGCATTGGTGTAAAAAAACTACCAGTTCCAAAGGTGATTGGCCAAAGAGGAACAGTCCATTCTACATCTTTACTGCAGTAAATTAAAGGAGAACTATGAGATGAGTGATTTCCACTCACCTCATAGTGCTAGCCGACCTGTGACAATGAGACTGTCACAGGTCGGCTCAGTAGATCGGGAGATGAGCAAACACATACCGGGTTCGCTCACCTCTCGATCCTGTCACCGCTCTCTGCCGTGACAGGGGGAGGGGATGGATTCCCCTCTCCCCGCTCCGATCCGCCAACGCTGACTGGCGGAACGGACGGGGGAGGGGGCGGGTACAGCTGGCTCTGCCTCTAGATAGGCAGAGCCAGCTGTCACTCACGCCGCCAAGCTACCTGATTAGCCGGGAAGTGTCTCCATGCTCCCTCGTCACCAGGTGATGAGGAAGCATGGAGCCAGCTTTCTGGCCCATCAGGAAGCTGGGGGGCAGGTAATGACTCGCCGCCCGGCTTCCTGATTGGCCAGCTTCCCGAACCCACCAGGAAGCCGGGCGGCGAGTAGTTACATGCTGCCTGGCTTCCTTATTGGTCGGGAAGCTGACTCCATTCTCCCTCGTCACCAGGAGATTGGCCAGGAAGCCAGCTCCATGCTCCCTGGTGACGAGGGAAGGTCTGGTATCGGCATAAGTGCCGGGAGCATTTGGGGCGAGTACGAGTGCTCACCAAAATAATTGGAATCGGCAGTGATACCGATACTAGTATTGGTATCAGTGCATCCCTAATAAAGACCTTATGTATTTACCATAGAAAGACATTGCATATTTCCCCTACCTTTCTCCTCTGCAGCATAGCACCTGCTCTGAGTAGAGATTCCCTTTTAAAAATGGAAAACCCCTTTAATAGCTGCGTGTCATGGGCATTATGCATCAGCGTGAGTGATATGCCTGTGCTGGCAGCATGGAGGAGGTTAGACGGGGTGACGGGCTGGTACACAGTGACCACAAGATGGACCGATCCTCTCTTAGGTGTGGGTGACTCACACTGGCAGAAGCTGGGCAATGCATTCAGTATCCAAAAGCAGCTGACATGGTCTCCTGTTACCATGACTGCCCACCCCCAGATAACCCATCACAGTTGGATCCCGTGTGCTATTAATTTCCAGTATTATTATATACCAGCAACATATTCTGCAACGCTTACACAGAAACATTCGGAACAGTCCCCGACACCAAAGGAGCCTCCAATCTAGTGTCCCTACCATGGTCATACCAGCACACACTGGGGACAATTAGCTTGGAATCCACTTAAAGTACCTGAATGCTTTTGCATCATAGGAGGTAATTGGAGTTCTTGGAGGAAACATTATGGGGTGTACTCCTCAGTACTCCTTTCAAAAGACCTCAGCCCTGAGCATGAGGAAAACTTTATCAGTGTGTTGCTGCTCCTATGCTATCCAATCACAGGCTGGGGCCGTCCTTGACCAAGCTGTACTGCTTTTACAGCAGTAGAGAAAAGTGAGGTCAGAATCATTTGATGATGATGATGTATTTTAAAGGAGAACTATGAGGGGAGTGCTTTTCACTCACCTCATAGTTCTAGCCGACCTGTGACAATGAGACTGTCACAGGTCGGCTCAGTAGATCGGGAGGTGAGCGAACACATACCGGCGTTCACTCACTTCTCGATCCTGTCACGGCTCTCTGCCGTGACAGGAGAGGGGCTGGATTCCCCCCTCCCCGCTCCGATCCTCCAGCGCGGACTGGCAGAACTGACGGGGGAGGGGGCGGGTACAGCTGGCTCTGCCTCTAGATAGGAAGAGCCAGCTGTCACTCACGCAGCTGGGCGGATCCAGACATAATTGTCGGGATCTGCTTCAGCTGCGGCGTCTCAGTATACCACGAGCGGAAAAGCCCTAACCCCATAGTTCTCCTTTAATTAGTTGGCAATAAGTACTACACAACTCTCCATAGGTTGAACTCGATTGACTTGTGTCTTTTTTCAACCTGACTAACTATGTAACTACATAGCCCAATGGCCACGCCAGATACTTTTTAAACAAAAGTATTTAAAACTTCCCATCAAAACGCATATCAACTCATAAAGGAAATGCATGTTGAAGCATGACAACACATGCAAAAAAAAAAAAGCCACCACTATGCAGAAGCGTAGATCTAAATGGGCCCCTAATGCCTCGGTGTGTTGAGGTGCCATTCTTTGCATGAGCCGGTTCGGCAAAGCCCCCCCCCCATTTCTGATGACAAGCTACACGCCATTGGTCTGCTACACAATACCGTGAGTTCAAGATCCACGAAGTGGCTTTAAAACAAATGAAACATAATGGCCGCAGAAGGCGAAAGCCACTTACCTATGGCCTGCGGAGCTACAATGTGACAGAAAACAGCCGCAAACACTATAAGGACCACCGGATACGACACCCAGGCCATGTACTGGTACCAGACGTTATGCACGGCGGCTCCTTCATACATCCATCTGTAGGCTGAGAGCATGGAAGTTAGATGAGAACATGAAGGGGCATTGAAGACCTCGGCCGGCTGTGGTTTTAACATTTTATCAATTACATTTCTTTAAAAGGAAAGTATAATGAGTTAAAATTATTGATATATATATATATACACTTTATACAGTATATACTGTTTTATGTTTTATTTGATTACCGTATTTGCCGTCGTATAAGACGACTTTTTATACTTAAAAACATCCCCCGAAAATCTGGGGTCGTCTTATACGCCGGGTATACAATCTAATCTGTCAGCCCGCTGGATGTGCGGTAATACTGTATGTACGGTAGCTTCGGCTACATACAGTTATACCGCGCTGAGCCAATCACAGCGAGCGATGTACACAACCTCTGCCAATCCGAGCAGGCTTAGTATTCATGAATAGAAGACCAGCGAGCTTGCAGAGCTCTTGCTAAGACCTGCAGGACTCTTGCTGTAGACTTGCCAAGCAAATTTGCTACAAATTCAAAAAGTGTCAACTAGAACTTGTGCTGCGAGTGTTCTGCAAGTCTACAACTTGCCAGGAATATGTGCAGCAAGTTAACAAGAATTACAATTTAACCCCGACACAAATTTGTGGCAAGTTATCCTTGCTATCTGGGACAGGATGCTGTGGGGTGGTCTAAAATCATGCACTGGGGTCATTAGCGCGGTATACTGTATGTAGCCGAAGCTACCGTACATACAGTATTACCGCACATCCAGCGGGCTGACAAATGTGTATTTAAACATTATTTTGGGCTAAACCAAAACCTATGTTTTAACTGAAAAATTAGGGGGTCGTCTTATACGCCCAGTCGCCTTATACGCCTTATACGCCGGCAAATACGGTACTTATGTTAAATATTTATTATACAAATAGACATTTAACATGATATTGTGTCTGTAATGATGCTGGGCTTTCTGGAAGCAAAGCCCAGCAGTGCCTTTATGCTACTTGGCACTTTGTGGATCTACTTGTTAAGACAAGACTCCTCTAAATTTGGGGTAAGTTTTGACATGGCTGAATTTTCCAAAGGCTCTGGAGCAGGGATAAGGCAAACGTCGGCCCTCCGGCTGGGGTGAAACTACAAATCCTGTCATGACTCTGCCTCTAGGAGTCATGCCTGTGGCTGCCAGATCCTTGCAATGTCTAATGGGATTTGTAGTTGCACCACAATTGGAGGGCCGAAGTTTGCCTACCCCCCTGCAGTAGAGGTTCAACTCTTTTCCCATGTGACATCACTGGAGCCAGGTGATTGGCTGCCCAGGTACTGAGTTCTACATTAGGGAATGTCAGATGTTCCACCATAGCCAGAATTACTTCGAATTCTCTGGGTTGTTAAGGAAGATCGAAGCAACAAGGGAAAAAGTGGAAAATATACATGGTGCCGATATTAAATCCTGTAAAGGCAAATAGCAGGTTTGCTCTGAAGCCGCATTGCAAGCCAACCAGAAAATGCGGCATATAAACTCATGGAGGCCTCAAAGTCTACCTTCTCCAATATTCACCCTACAATTACCTTGACTGTCCTAGTCATCAAATCCGCTCTCCTTCTTATTTAACTTTTCCTGAATCTGAACCAGTAGGAATTTAGACCTCTCTAAGGCTTACCACAGCCCGTCCACACATGCTGGAGCACAAGAAAGAGTTGCACTGCACATTGTATTGAGGAAGGACCATATGAATGGAAACATGCCTCATGTCTACCTACTGAGCTCAAGAGTTGCACTGCACATGGTATTGAGGAAGGATCATATGAATGGAAACATGCCTCATGCCTACCTGCTGGGCTCAAGAGTTGCACTGCACATGGTATTGAGGAAGGATCATATTAATGGAAACATGCCTCATGCCTACCTAGTGGGCTCAAGAGTTGCACTGCACATGGTATTGAGGAAGGATCATATTAATGGCAACATGCCTCATGTGTACCTACTGGGCTCAAGAGTTGCACTGCACATGTTATTGAGGAAGGATCATATTAATGGAAACATGCCTCATGCCTACCTACTGGGCTCAAGAGTTGTACTGCACATGTTATTGAGGAAGGATCATATTAATGGAAACATGCCTCATGTCTACCTACTGGGCTCAAGAGTTGCACTGCACATGGTATTGAGGAAGGACCATATGAATGGAAACATGCCTCATGTCTACCTACTGGGCTCAAGAGTTGCACTGCACATGGTATTGAGGAAGGATCATATTAATGGTAACATGCCTCATGTCTACCTACTGAGCTGAAGAGTTGCACTGCACATGTTATTGAGGAAGGATCATATTAATGGAAACATGCCTCATGTCTACCTACTGGGCTCAAGAGTTGCACTGCACATGTTATTGAGGAAGGATCATATTAATTGAAACATGCCTCATGTCTACCTACTGGGCTCAATAAGTCTCTATATTGAATGGTGTAGGTCTGATCATGTATCCTGCTCCCAAACTGGCATTTTGTTTTGCCTACATAGTAGGAACCACATTGGAAGGTTAGTTGGTACACTATGCCATTGATTTTACTATCCACAAAGTGTCTACAGTTGAGTCTTTCACCCCTTAGGTGGAGTCACATTTTGACTGTAATTTGTATGTTATCAATAATTACATGATCCACACCTATGGGTACCAAAGTTGGTCCATATAAATGACAGTCGAACTGTCATTTATATGTACATGTGACTCTACCTACAGGTAAGAAACTTAAGAGCAGACACTTTGTGGATGGTAAAACTCAAGGCATGGTGTACCTACTAACCTGCCAAAGCGGCTCCTGTTACATAGGTAAGACAAAACAGGATATATGATCATACCGTACCCTATTTAAGGCGGTGACTTACTGAGCCCAATAGACAGCTATGAGGCATGTTTCCATCTATACACTTCTTCATCAACATCATTTGTTACATTAGATAGGACATTAGATAGGATCTATGAGGATCCTTTGGGTGGTGATTGTAATTGCTTGCTCCTACATTGCACAGCACATGTTCATTTGACAAGGGCCTGCAGTTTTGCCCAAAAGTGCCTCCAGTATATGTAAGGAGCACATAAGACATCTCCATATATGACTGCAAAACAAACACATGAAACATTTTACTAGTTATGGACAAATATTTACCAAAACTATACATCCCGTGAAGTTACCTTGTAGACTTTTCGCACTGGCATAGTCCATGCTCCAGCTGACCAGCGCCATCACAAGACCCAGCAGAACCAGGAAGATCCAGTCCTCGCCCAACTTTTTGATGAAATATTTTTTTACCCTTTGCAGACAGGCTACAAGATAAGAAAGCAGAGTTAGACCAACCAGTATGGTAAATAACCGCACTGCAGGAGATCTTAACCAGGTATAACCAACCCTGTTGGGGCATAGGAACCAAATGATGGGGGTTCAGGCCTGAATGTCTCAATATTTTTAAGAAATTGAATTAAAATTCTATTCCTTTTGGACCTGAAATTAAAGTGGAGAAGTTGATTGATGTATGCTGTTTCTTTGCCTCCAAATCAGGTCCATGATAGGTGAAAGTCACCCCCTCAGGACCCATTTAAAGCCCACTGGACCTAGACATTTTGCCAACATGGAAACATCTCACTGAAATCTTCCAATTTTTGCCAAAATTTCCAGGGAAATGTAAACTCTGGATCTTGCTTGTCTACTTGTGAAAGGCCGCAGTCCCATGTTCCATGGATTTCTCTGAGCCTAAAGCAATCTGACCCACACAAAATGGAACAAAGAAGGGAAGTCTAACAACAGAGTCACATGATAAGAGACTCCTACCTTGACATGGAGGTAAAGGAAATTATTTCAAGAATTGATATAACATCTACCATTGCTTTGTTCTACCTACATAGTTAGCATCCCCCACCCTCCTATTAACCAATGGGATACTTGTAGAGAGTTACCCCTTCAGATCTGGAGCTCAGTCATTTGAGCAAGTCATCAATAAGCAGCTAGAATGAGTTGCAGGAGGCTATAATCCCTTGTTACAAAGGTTCCATTGTCCACTTTACCTGCTGCCATTGTTCTCCTCATCCTTTCTGATATACCACAGTGATGGAGATCTCTAGATTTATAGACACTATAGAACAGGCAAAGTCTGCTTCCCTACATGCCCGTTTGGCGCATTGTATATGCTGCTGGTAGAACAAGATATTTTTTTAATGTGACAACTGTATGGAAGTTTGATCTTACCGTGGCACTTGGAGTAGCACTCCCTCTGTACATCAGGTGGTTTGGTTGTGCTGATGCTTTTCCTCTCTTGCGGTAACTTGGCGGCTTCTTTCCTGGCAAATTGTGAGAGCTCCTCTGTGTAATGGCCATAGGTCTGGAAAGAGAGCAGAGAGACAGAACTTTGGTGTCACACCCAAGAGCCAGCTGCAATTTGGGAAAGTCTAGCACATATGGCAAATGCCCGGGGTGATGGGTTGCTCATTGGGGCTTTATACAGGATGTCCAACATGGCGACAGTAAATGCAAGTGATGTAGCTTATTGAAGCAGCTACTTACCTGCTAGTTTATGGGGGTTTACTACGAAACAATAATGCACACTTATGGATCCTGGAACACTATTAATCCTGCCCATGGTCTTGTCTGCCCTCTTTTTGGGTGGTCACGGCCAGTTTATGGGTTTTTCCTACCCAGACCCCACCACTAAACATGTGCGTACTAACCACTCAAGGCCCTAATCCCTTCAATCAATTTAGAGTTACTGCAGATGTGCTGTAACTAAAATAAGGTTTATGCTGTGATCCCGGGACATGGCCCAGCAGACCAAGATGTGGGACTGTCCTGGTAAATCTGGGACAGTTGGCATCTATGGTAATGCTGTGGATTTACATGTTATTGTCTGTGTTACAAAGGACAAGCCCCCCCCCCCGTCCTACTCACTTAACACACGCGGGTAG